GCGGGCGGTCGCCAGAGCGGCAATGGCCAGGCCCACCGTCGTGCCCACGAGCGTCAGGGCGACTGTGCCCGAGGCTTTCATGGTGCTCCACCTGAGGATGAGGGTCGTGGAAGAGCAAACCAGCGCGCTGGTGCGAGACCTGGAGATGCTGGGTGCCGATGGGCAGAGGTAGGGAGAAAGCGGGGGTAAGCCTTTTCCTTCTTGCAGGGGTCACACCTTTCGCGATTTTCCTCATCTTGTTCTTCTTTGCACCTGTTTGCCGTGCGTTGTTCTGCTCTCTGCGGGGGAGCTGGTACTGGCAGAGCTGATGGGAATGGGCTACACCGACCCAGGGTCACAGGAAGCCTTCCAGCTCTGTGAAACGTGGTTTCTAATCTAATCACGTCTGTAGCGCGCACGTGCAACATCAGGTAAGCGTGTGTACAAGGAGTGGGTCAGTCTTTTCTCCTTTCCAGCCGCGATCGTTTGCGCTCAAAGACCTTGGAAACACCTGCTGGTCACCCAGCCATCAGCCCTGTGCAGGCCAGGGTAGCGTTTGTGGGAGAAAACACACTGTGGAAAAACTGTGAAACTCTGGTGAATCGAATGTGTCGGTTAGAGAGTGTTGTACAGACACTGAAATTAAACGTCTTCCAGCTGCAGACCGCAAAGGAACTGAATCCAGAGCATGCAGGTAGTAAAAGGGGGTTTTTTACCACTTTGTTCTTCATTGTCCCTTCGTGTGCTTTTTCTGTCAATGAAAGTTTCTTGCCTTTTCCTTGTGGCAGCCCAGTTGGAGCAGCGCCTGAATGCAATCCACGAGGAGCATTTGCAAGAAATGAAGATTGTACAGCAAGAAGCAATGAAGTTGCGCCAACACCTGAGTAGTATGAAAGAGGCTGAAGAAAAGGCAAAAGAAGAAGTTCAGAGACTGCGTGCTGCTCTGGAGATTACGACTGCGTCCAAGGTATAAAACATTATGATCTTCTTATAGTTTCAAGTATTAATAGGCTTGTTTTTAAGTACGTTCATTTCTGACATAGTTAAACAGAAAGGATACTCAGCTGGAAAAAGGAATTTATGATATATTGTTGGCAGTAAGAGCAAACACTTTTGATAATGAGAATCTGTGCTTCTATCAATTAAAAAAGCTATATAGCAAATCAAGAATAAAAATATTTGAGATTTGTAATTCTCTCATCTTCGTGACTTAAGTTCATCCTAGCTTTCATGCGTAGAGTTCTCAGTAGCTTTTCTATTTTTCCAGGAACGTAACATTTCTCTGGTGTTTCAGTCTTACACTTCTATTACTATCTTCACTGAAAAAAAACTTCAATGGAGTATGTCACTCAGTCTTGTTAATTGTATTAAAGAATATGTTGCTTCTTAGTGCTTGCACTCTTATATTCAGTGCTTCAGAACAGAGAACATCTGACTGGAGATAGAAATCAAGTTCTAGGTGTTAGCATGGCAGTTACATTCTACAATACCTGTTGCTCTTGCAATAATTATGAACATGAAAGGATTAAAGTATCTGTTCCTTTCATCTTCTTTAGATGAATGTAGTGGTTGCAGCTGAGGAACTGAGGAACACAAACCAGAAAATTCGCTGTAGAATTCAGGAGGTAAGTACAAGAGCAAGGAGCTTAGTAGGAGGCTGACTTTGCTGAGTGTTATTTAAAGATTTGAATAAGAAGATCCTTAAATAATATTCTAGCTGCAATTTTGGAATGTGCACAACCCAAAGGAACCTGCCAGCCATGCTCATAACTAAATACCCAGACAGAACATCTTTCCTATATGATCTCAAAGTTTTTGTTCAGTCTACTTGATTAGACCTGGGTCAGAAAGCATTTTTTTTTTTTCTAGCTAACAGAGCAGCTGTCTCAGGAGATCAGCCTGCGGGAGTCTTTGGAGGAATCCCAAGCAACTGTGATGTGTCGTGTACGGGACATGGAAACAACAGTAGAAGCAGAACGGAAGCAGGTTTGAGAAACTTTCAGTCGTCTTTTATATCTTTTCATTTTCTCATCTGTGAGGAAGAGCAAAAAGTTGGATGTCGTTCCAAGGAACCAGTTCAAAACACTTTGTAACTACAATATTTTCTACAAACATTGATCAGAAGAGATCATGTAATCAATCTTCCTGCTCCAAGTAGAAGTATCACAAGCACGGGATTGAGGCATTAGTGGATTTATCTAGCAGAGTTCAAGGACTGATTCCATGGCTGCTTTAGGTATTTTTTCTAGTGTTGCAATAATGTTCCAGTTAAGATTTTTTTTCCTAGCATCCGATCTGGATGTTCCAAGCTTAAATTTGGGACCATTGCCCCTTTTTAAATCATTAAATGCAACTGAAATGCGTTTGACTTCATAATCTTTGTAACCACCTCTCAGATTTGTGGGCCACAACTGGATCCTGCCTTAACCTCTTCTTCACCAGGCTAAAACAGCCTCTTTATAACTGAGGTACTAATAAACCTTCCATTAGAAAATGCAACTTCTGAAAAATATTCTGTTGAGATCTTAAACCTTCTGGGACTAAGAATGTTTTCTCCATGAATTGCCATAAGGAAAAAGAGAGATTTTTGTTCTCAGCTGTATTTGTATTGCCTAGCTGTTTTGGAGTGTGGGGAGGTGCCATAGCTCACGGTAGGAATGAACTGGCTTACACATAAATCAAATAAACAAAACCAATGCCCCTCTCTGCATGCGTACGCACACGAGCCACATGCAGTCACGTCAACACTTCTGAAGTCACAGCAACAGTTTAGTAAGGAAAAAAGAAAGCCAATAGCAAAGTGTCGAAACATGAATAACTAGGAGTTGGATTTTTTCTTTTTTTTTTTGATCATCAAGGTCTGAATGTTCCTGAAACAAAGTTCTGTTAGAAATTACTGCGTCTTTTTCCTACATGCCTTTTATTATCTTTGTGTTCTTCTACAGCACAAGTGGAAAAATGATGGATACATTATTGAACTCTATAAATTATACATCATGTGAGAAGCAAAGGCTTAGTTTAATTCTTCTGTCACTTTCTGATGGGTATAGTTGGCCCTGTGGTATATTTATTAGTTAGCATTAAAACAAACCAAAAACATCCTCACAAACGGCATGAGACAGACTTGTTAAGTGCCTTGAGTTTTGCGTTCACCTTCATCTTTTATAGCTTGATCTTTCCTGTAATCTTTAATTGTGCAAACTTGTTAGATTTGGCCTGTCATGTAAAGATGATTATAAGCACACATACACAGCGTAACGTATAGAAATTGAGTTGCTTGCCATAAAAGTCTTCTGCATAAGATTGGGACAAGCCGAAAGAGAGGAGAAGCTGATCAGGCCGTATCTTTTCCAGTTAGATGAACTTCTCAGGCTCTGAAATTTGCTTAGGTTTGCCTGACTGAATTCTGCATCTTAAAGAATAATCTGTGATATCATTGCAGGTGCAGATATTACAGCAGGACTGCCAAGAGTTGCGTAAAGATGTCCAGCTAGCCCGAGCGAGGCTGCAAGAGGAGGAGGAAAGAACTGCCCAACTGGAGCAACAGTGCACACAACTGAAAGCTGAACTGGGTATGACCGTGGGTTCTTCTCATATCTTTTTAGCCCTTCTCTCACTGCCTCCACAGTGGGAGGAAACAGCACTGAGGCCCTCCAGACCTGTGGCAGGTGCATCAGTCAACAGGAATGGAGGGCAGCTTAAGAGGCGATGAAATATGAAGGGCCTTTAGTTTACATCTGATGTTTCTAAAGCCTCTTTTTACCTAGAGGAAACTGACAACAGTGGTAATCAGGGTAATGAATACGCAACAATAATATGAAAATATTCCATCAACATAAATTCTTTTCAGAGGAGACTTCATCTAGCAAGTAACCATTAACGCATGATTCCTGAACTGATGTGCAAGTAGAAAGCCTGTTGCTATTGAGTCTTTTCCAGCTGATTTAAAAAAAAAATGCTCTGTTAAACATCAGTATAAGAACAAGCATCTTGCATAAACCTCTAGTTGATCCCATTTAGATTCCTAGTCTATTGATGTGAAAGTAGCTGCTTACAAGAGAGCAAAGTGGCATTTAATGCACTCCAGCGTAGGGGGAAGCTCCATATTGTCAAAATTAAAGGTAAATGTTCCTAACCTAAAGTCTGTTCCTTATTCCCAAGTAACTCACAGTAACCATGCCTAAATCCTATCATAATTATTGTTCTTGTGATTGTTCCCCCAGGACCTGTATCAGATTTGTAGCTACTGCTTTTACAGAAGTGTTCCTGTTTCCCGTATGTTTTGTTTGTTATTCTGTGAATCGCAAATACGATGATTAACCTGTAGCTCACAAAAGGCAGGCAGTGCTTCTACGTAAGGCATGGCAAGAGGGGAGAAACTTGTCGTGTTGTGACAGAGTTGGCTGAATGAGGGAGAAGGATGGCAGAAGAATTCTTTCCTTCAGAACAAACTCTTACGCAAATGACAAATTTAAACGAGACACAAATTTTCTTTACTTCTGTGTCAAAT